AAAAAAAAAAAAATAAATAAATAAAAATTTATTATTATCAAAGCTATTCAAACTGCTCGAACAGATTCATGCGCTTCACCACAGTTAAGACGCTGAATGCGAACTTGGCCACCTATAAATTAGTTAAATATTATTTACATATTCAAATATGTACATATATAAATAAGTATATTAGCTAATACATAGGCTAATCTATACCAACCTTAATGTTACTGTTCACTGATATTCGAATAGTGCGGAATCCAATGAATATGATCGGCTGTTGCACCTGCTGCATGAAAATCCTTAACGTAGACTTGTATCTGCGCTCCGCATCGATCCAATAGGATTGGCCCAAAATGTTGCACAAATCATTGCTGTCCTCTACTAAAGAATCGCAAAGGAAACAAAACGGAAATGTCTCCAATAACAGAGCTATGACCAATATGATCGATGAAATTTTCAAGAATATATCAGAGGAATACATCACGCCGACCATAGTTAGGCCTAGCACAGCACCGATTAGCATAAACTGTGTAGTGATCGTGCGGGACATAATGGGACGCATTATGTCACAGCATCTGGAGTGAATGGATAGTTGGATCAATAGATATATAAAAGATATTAAGGAAAATATGTATAGATATATTAGGGATGTTGATGGATGTCGACAGATGTAGATAGTTAGAATGATATAAATAGATATGTACATTTAGAGAGATATATACTCGTAGATATAGATATACAGATGAATGAAGATGGATGTGGATGTAAATAGATACATATGTAGTTATTTACAGTTAGGGAGGTGGATAGATATATGGATCGATCTTACTTGACGATCAGCTTGTAGTATTTAATGCCATTCACGAGCTCTTTGTAGTTCTCAGCCTCAGTCTTGTTCGGGTCGGTGCGTAGATTGCGTAAATGATCCTTCAAAATTTCGACGTGAGCTCGAAATGCAATCATACAAATGATAGGACTGGTGTCCAATACAATATTCATAAACACAGCAATATTTAGGGCTGTGAACTCAAGTAATGTTTGCAGATAGAGTTGAACGGTTCCGTTCCGCCAATCCAAGAACGGATTATAGATCAGCCATGGGGGTTGACTGCTGAATATTGTAGTCACTAGCATGGACAAGTTATAGCCCACATAGAACACGCTGTAAAGCCCGCAGACATAGTTGCAAGTAGAAATAGCTTTGTGAATCTTTCTGCGATCGGTATCATCCTTCAGTCGTTCGTCCATTTCATCCAGCACGGACATTGTTTCGGCCAGGCGTGAAAGTTGCAGGCACATAATTAGGGACTTCATCGTAATACCGCCCGCGTTAAGCATGATTTGAATTATACCAATAATCTGGGCAGAGCCAAATTTCGCAGAGTCGAAAACTAGGCTGAGAAACAAGCCGACGGGTATATAAATGATCGACAAGGCGTTTGCCAAGAAGGACCAAACGAAATACAGAAAACGCTCAGTGCCCTGCTCGGGTGGTAGCCACCCAACGAATCTTATAATCCGAAAGATATACGTGCAGACGTCTCTCGACTTTATCCGTGCCACGACTGGGGCTGGCCTTATGAGTTTGAATATTCCGACCATAGCAATTGATGGTATGAATAGAACGAAAACTGAATTGCAACTGAATCGACGAATATGAAATTATAATACAGTATATGTAGAAATCGAACTGCTGTTCGATTCGCACCACTCTTGAAGTGTCAACCACGCCTATTACGTTTCATGTCCTATAATTAATTGGGCCTTAGGCAGACAATTTTAAAATCTTACAATGAAATATGCAAAACTGGGTCTATTACTGGAATGAAAGTTTAGCTACAAATAGAGATGTAGAGTTACAGATAGAAACAGAT